CCAGGGTACTGAAATTAGGCCTGTAGCATGCTTGGATGAAGGACTACCAAGTTTGTTCAAATGAATGACCTTGACCAACTTTCAAGGTCACAGGGTCAAATGTCGTAAAATCTTCAAGCAACTTCTTTTCAATATGCAAAAGGGCCAGGGTACTGAAATTGGGCCTGTAGCATGCTGGGATGAAGGACTACCATGTTAGTTCAAATGATTGACCTTGATCCACTTTCAACCTAATGTCCTTGTTCAACATTCAAGGTCAGAGGCGTCATGTTTAAATCTTTTAATAGGTTCTTATGAATGTTTTTGTGCTTTTTAACCAAATATGAACTTGTTTCTGTCGTGTAGATGTGATTTCTTCTTAGTCTTGTGTTTATTATATAGAATACAATGTAGTAATGTTTGCCCAGCAGGTTAGATTGTTCATGTGGTTGACTTTTTTCCAGGCGATATTAGTGAAGTTATTTTCAGAACAGTGAAAATCAAAGTTTCCCGTGTATTCCAAGGCGTGAATCTCCTGTAGCCCTGAAAGTGAGAATGCCACCTTATTTCAATAAACATAACAAAAGGTTTGAATGATTTCTGATCACAATATTCAAGTTGTAAAAATTGCTGAAACTTTCGCGAAATAGCAAATGTGATACACACTGTATGTCAAAATTGGAGTTGCTTACCTTTGACTGTTTCTTCTGCTTACCTTTAACGTTTTAGCAGATTTGACCTTTTAATCTAGTAAATTTTGACCTTGTGTTTCCCATTGTCATTTGGTGAAGAAACCTGTGAATAGAAGATATAGCATTATTGGTCAGTTCTTTTTGGCTTGATAGGAATGATTGAAAGTTATGCAACAGATGTTTTATTGCCGTTGCGGAATCTCGATATTGTAATAAAACTTTTTGTGAAAAAGAATTAATAAAATAAAATGTTATGAAGTGTAATTTTGGACCTGATTAACAGATCAATGTTTGAAAAAATGTTGTGTTTTTAATATTAATGCTGAATGATAACAAAAGATACTGAGAAATATAATGTGTAAGGGCGATAACTCTAACACAAATTAACGCTGTAGGTAGCATACAACCTTAACCTTTTCGGGTCACAATCGTCATATTTTGTACATTCATGATTGTGTGTTGGGATAACATTGATAACTTCTAGTTTATCTATAAAATGTATTAAAACAGTCCCAAAATTGTCAGAATGACAAATTTTATTCTGTATGGGTTAATGGCAGAGATGATTCATCTTGTGACCAACATCACGTGTAGTACAGTGTACTCACAAATCTCAAGTTTGTCATGAGATAAACTCTCATGGCTGAAACAAGACTTTTTAAATGGACTGTGCCAAAACCAAATAGAAGATGTTTTCAAAACATTTATCAAAGTTTTGGAAGAGAAATTTATACGTCAAGGTTGTGCCATATGCTTGATATTGCAACGAAGGCCATCGATTATCAGGGATCCCTGTTCCACTGCCAAACACAGTTCCAAGCCGGTGACAGCTTTGATAAATCATTTCTGAAAAGAAAACCATACCTTTTGGGACAAAGAAATAGTCAATATTAAACAAAATACAATCAACAATAGTGTTCAGAGTGTAAAAATTAAGGGGAGGTTACTGTGTATAGGAAAACTCTCAGTGCAGTGGGACAGGGATCCTAAAGACACCTGTTGTACCAGCCTCAAAGGTGTCTAGCACGACACATTTACTATGTACAAGTTGTATCCATTACTACTTTCAATATTAATATTTTAATTGTCTTGTAACACTAGCACAAATTTTAATCCTAAATGTGACTAAGCATGTTTTATCTCGGTTTTGATTTAGACAGTGAAGATCAATGGTGTATTTTGAGTGACCTCTATGTAAGCAATTTGCCAAACTCGTTGTCTTGACTGACGATTAGGCTTAAATTTAAAAAAAAAAAAAATGTTGTGCCCAAGCTTATGGCTTTATTTCCATTTTTAGGCAATGAACAGGGGTTTATCAGTCGGGGGGTTTATCAGGGGGTTTCGGGAACGGATCTTGGGGTGAAATTGGGGAAAAAATCATTGACTCTAAATACATAAAATTTGACTGTTAACTTTAATTTAAGCCTGCCTTAAGGAGTGAATGATCATTCTGCCTTTCGTTAATATGCTGCATTATGAGAACATGGTCAATTTATTTAAATTTATGCATATTTTTTTTTATAATTTTAAATGGAAAATTTGGGGGGAAACCTTCTCGTTTTCCATTGAACGTAACTAAAACGTCACCTGATGAACCCCTGATCATATGATCACAAATTTATGTCACATGATCACAAGGTTGGCATCACATGCTTGTTACTACATGGTGTATCAATGGTGTAGTTTGTATATTTTCCTGTGTAGATGTTTTGTATGTTTTCTGTGTAGGATTCAAATCTCGTTTTCGATTTGGTGAAAATGCCCTGCGTGTAAGTTCAACATATAGTTGTACACACAAGTCTACCGTTAAACCCTGTACCTTAATGGTGTTTCATGTGTTCAACAATATCCTGAACATATAATTGTATTAGGATTTATTTTAAACGCGTATGAAAGGTGGATCGGTCGAAAACGATATTTGGAAAACATTCTCCATGAATATGATTTTTGCATTTGATTATATATTATTTTTTAGTGGTGAAGATGTTGAATTACAACTAAAGCTAGTTTTACAATGTAAAGGGAACAAGATCAGTCCAGTATTATACATAGGACACCATTCCTGTGCAATCGTTTGTTAAATTGTTATATTTTTATACAAACACGGGTTCCGCAGGTCTTGGTGTTTTTACAGCAGCCTCTGGTCGCATGACATTAGTGCCCTAATCAGTGAGTTTTGCTGATTTGCCAGGTCAGTCATGTGACCAGAGGAC